CTCTTTCTCTCACTCTCTTACTCTTGCTATCTTTCTCTCACTCTCTTTATTTCTCTTTCGCTCAATCTCTCTCCTTCTCACTCCCTATCTCTCACATTCTCTCCCTTTCTCCCTTTCTCTCACTCTCTTTATTTCTCTTTCGCTCAATCTCTCTCCTTCTCACTCCCTATCTCTCACACTCTCTCCCTTTCTCCCTCTCTCTCGAACAGAAAACAAGAAACGCACTTTCAACATCGGACTCCTAAACACGCGCGACAATCGTCAAAATTATCACCAGAGTTCGGGAAAGTGGCACACGCACCTTCCCTCAAATAAAAAACTCTGCTGAAATCAAAAATGTCACAATTCCAACATAAAATTCCTCTCCATCTCCCTGTACCAATTGCCAACTCGTAAAATCTCCCATGACAAAATTCCGTTTCAATCGACTACAGCATCGAAACGCAACGGAACGAGAGAGCCACTGAAATCTCCGCTGGATTCGAAACGGGGAGCGTGGAAACAGCACAGGCTGATCCGGGACCCGCGCATTGTCAGAGTCAATATTTGGCTGGTTTAACATAACTTTGCTTTTAATCAGCGGGCAAAATGGCCTGAGAGCCGCTCGTATTATCCAAATAACGCGTGGCTGCGTGGCCGCGTTTCGCCTTTCGATCGTAAACGAAAATTGCGAGATACGCGGGCGTCATCCAATTTTCGGGTGCAACTGGCGTCGCGACGCGTCCACCACGATCGTTCCTGCACAACCCGTTCGTCCATCGGCTGGGAAAATTGCGAAACTGGTGCGCCTCTCCGCTTAGCATTCGCCATCCAATTTTCGATGACGCGCGCGGATTCTCTCGATATCGAGCCTGACGGTCCGGCTGCATCTGTTTAGCGAGATATCGAACTGACGTTTGTTTGGCTTTCGACTGGCTTGTGTTGTTCCCGTACAACGATCGATACATCCACGATCGAACAGAGAGAGAGAGAGAGAGAGAGGAAGCACCGCGTCGCTCCACAACGGTGTAATCTGGAGATTGGAAGGTAATCCGACGAGCTGACGTTTAACTCTCGACCCAGGGGAGGAGGTTTAGGCTGATGTGTATTGTTGTTTATGAATGTTGAGCTTGATTCGATTATAAAGCAGGGTTGTCTGGAGTTTTTGGCAGTTTCCAGTTTAGGATTAGGAAGTTTCGCGAGTGAGTAGCTCGGGTTTATGGTTCGTTGGTGGTTTCCTGGCTCGACTGGGGATTTATGGTCGTCTAATGAGGTTGTTGGATCGATAAAAAGATTCTTCTTTTCGAAACCGGATTATGAACGAGTTAATGACAAGTTACGTGTGTGATTTTCAGGTAGTTGAAATTATTATTATTCGTCTTCGTTAAACGAATAAATAATAAATGTATGTATAGCGGTGTAGCGACCAGCTACAGCGAAGAACATTTGGCGAGCAGACTACCAGCACGGTTTATGACGTGCGCGCTTGAAAAGCTATTTTTGAGGAAACCGTTTTTAGCTTATTTAATTTCTAGAAATTCGACAATGCATGTCCGCGTAGAAACTTTCTCCGACGGCCTCAATAGCAAATTACCGCATCATAAATCAAGGGTTTCCGAAAGGTCCGCCGTAAGAGGCCCGGACCGGCAGGTCACGAGTACCTGACCTGGAGGAAACTCAGCTGTGTCGCCAAATGACGTCACGGGAAAAACCTTCCCCGAAAAAGAGCGCCAAGGGCGCAAGGGACACGCAGCGACTCAGAAAGAAATTACCTGATTGGTTAACACCGATGCGACGGGTTAACCAATCAGGGATGATTAACACGTAGCCGAAAGGCAGTAGGAAAAAAGCGAGGCGACAGGAAGGCAGTCTTGCACGGACCTTCAAAGCCGTCAGCCAACGTTTAATAAAGATCTCACTACTACCATGTGGGTACATAGCGTAGCCCTAGTCACGCCTTATTATTCGTAACCACATTACTTCAGTGGTATGGATTTTTCTTTTGGAAATAGGGTTACGAATAAATTAGTAGCAAGTTACACGTGTGATTTTGAAGTTGTTAAAATTGTTATTATTATTCGTCCTCGTTAAATAAACGAATAATAAATGTAAGTATAGCGATATGGATGACGGGTAAGAGATGAGCTTTCGTTAGGAAACTGTGCTACTACCTAATCTCAATACCAATAGTATAGAATAAAATACAGAATTGAAATTAATATTAAGCATCCGAGAGGACAACAAACGCAAGAGCAATATCTCTATCTACTTTATTTCGCGCACAAATGTCTGAGCACAAGTTAATTTCAACAGAAGCTAAAATCAGAGCTAAGAATGCCAATCCACGATTTTTGATAAAAAATCTCCAACTACCGATCTTTCTACAAAAATTCTTCAAAGTCATCGACAACTTAGAGGAGAGTCGTGCAGTACCGGCCACCCCAAGTTTTTGTACTATAACTTGGGCTAATGTTGGTAAAAATGAAATTTGAAAAAAGTAATTTGTAGTACAAAGTGTGCTTGATAAAAGGGGACAAATGGTTTTTCTTAAATTTTCTCATAAAGATAAATAATTGGTAGGAATAAAAAAGTTGTAATTTGCAGCGAACGAAAAATTAACAGTGCCGGCCAGCTACTTAGTTGGTAGATTTTAAGGTCTAAGTAATAAACGATGTTAGTGAAAATTATTGAAAAATAGAATAGAACTTTTATTTAGGCATCGATATTTTCTTGATCCGTACACTCCACGTGAGCCCAACCGTTGCAGCTATGAAAAGTAACTTTTGTCGTAGGGAACACCAGCGTAAACGTTCAACGTCTTAGAACTCTGGTAATACCGAAGAGAAAAGAACGTCGCCGGAATACGATGCTCAGGGCTATAGTATTTATTTGTTTTTCCATCAAAAGTGCAGTCAACTAACAGTATAAGCGAGATCTAGCTTTGGCCGGTGCTGCACGACTCTCCCCTATATAATTTTTCATGGCTACCAATATTCCTATAAAAATTCTTAACAATCATCGACAACTGTTTAACACGTTAAGCGCCATGTCAGTCACCGGTGACTGACAGTATACTTTTCGTTCGGGATGCGTCAGTCACTGTTGACTGACGATATTCAATTTCAAAAATTATATTCTTCTATTAATACATTTTAAATAATTTGAAAATCATAAAAGAATGTACCTTGTTACCAAAAGAAAATTTTAACGAGTATTATTAAAACACATGCAGTCTTATCGCAACCTTACACAGATCTCGGTGAAATCGGTTATCGCGGGCTAAACGGAAAGGAAGACAAAACAGGCTTGGCGCTTAACGTGTCAAACAAAAAACGTAAGATGTATAATTTTTTACGGCTACCAATATTCCGATATAAAAATTCTGAAAAAACCCAGATTCTCTTTAAAGCACGCCAGAATATTGACATCCAGTGGAGAAAAAAAAACCCGACAGAATACGAATTTCACAACTGTGATGTAACTTTTTCTGCCGTAATTATCGTCGTCTACCTTTCGATTCGTCTGGCGCGACTCGACGAATTCGATTGCGCGAGGCTTTTCGGCTCGTGTTATACTACCGATGCCGATCGAAAGTGGAAAGTGAAAGTGGCGGTACCCGGAGAACGATGAAAGTGGACGAGGATAAACGGAGTCCTGGCGACTGGTCGTAAAAGTACCGCCGCGAAACTGCCCGATCATCCAACACTTTTCGAACGTCAATCACTCGGTCGAACGATTCTTTACACGTTTCTGCAGCCTAATTGACGTTTCATCGTCGCGCTCTATTTCGCCTCTTTCACCAGAAGCTAAACCTATCGCGTTTCGAGTGACTTATCGAGAATCGTCTAAAGACGAAAACACGTCTTCGCGGAGAACTTCAAATATTGACCAACGACCACGTGCAAGAGTCCGAAGTTACAAGAGACACTTTGTATTTCTCTCTCAATATTTAAGCAACGGTAGTTGCTTTAAAATTTAGCGTTTAATCAAATTTTTACGAAGTCGAATTCTGTAAATATTCGCGACTATCGATAACCTGAAATTTCGACACAGAGCAATTCTTAGTACAAAATTCATAATCACGGTTAATCACCTATTTAGGGTAGTTGAAGATTTTTTGCCAGAAATCATGAATTAACGTTCTTAACCTGATTAATGTCTCCAATTTTGTCTTCCGTTTAAATCTATTAATTTTCAGACGTGAATAAAATAAACAGAAATAGGATATAGATACGTAGATGTTAGAATTATCTTAGGGAATAAGATAAACAGACAAAACTCGTCTGAAACTCTAACGCGCCAGCTTAATATCGTGTGAATTAGTTTTAAATACAAACGTGTTTCGAAGTGTGGTAAATGTTTGACCGGCGCGGTACTCGTCACTTCGAGTGCATCCACCGAGTCTGTCGAGAGTTAGTCGATTCGTAGTAAAATTTGTCAAATTTTCTGACACGCCGGCGAATCGGTGGAATTCCCAGACTCCGGGACCTTGAGCATCCGGTCGCCCCGATAGCTGACAAGGCTGTGGTCAACGGAAGGACCAAGCCCAAAGGTGAACGAACCAGCGTTCACGAATTGCTCGCGTGCTCTGTAATAGGCTTATGACACGTCTAATGCCGTTCAGTGGACAGAAGCGAGGCAGAAATTCTGTATTCCTGCGTCCGCAATTTCTAAACCTTGCCTTCTGGCCCTAACGATTAAATATACCACGAGCCGAAACATAATTATTATTATATTACTGTCGAGGCTTTCAAATTAAGCTTACACCCGAAAATCTCGATAACGATAATAGAGTAATGAAATTAAAAAATTAATTATTTTAATAAAATTTCTCAAGAATATAATAGCTTCCCCAGACTTCCGTGTCACAAACCCAATCGCCTTAACAGTTACCAATGTCTCTAATCACTACGTTCTAAAAGCGAAGACTCATGCTGGCGCACGCACGTTCAATTTTCCAATTTCCATATTTTCCTATCGATTCAACAAGCAAGCGGAAGAATCCAGCTCTCGTCGTTTACCTGATTAAATTCAGCAAGGACCGTTCCATTTCGCTCAGCTGATCCTGGTGCACGGACGAGGTCAGTTCGCATATCAGCTTAGGCAGGCAAGCTGTCTTGATGGTCGTCATCATTCGCGCTCGTCTCGAGACCGCTGCAAAATAATCCACCAACCTCAGATCATTTACGTTCCATCGTACATTCCGTTCGATTGTATAACTCTAACAAGTGTCTAACACATTCTCGAGCAAGTCTTTATTCCATAGATGTTACTTGAACGTTTTACGAGTTTGGAATTAAGATTACGATCGCTTTTCACTGCAAGGTGAAACCTGAACAGTTTCAGATAATTGGAGGTGTAATTATGTCTTTTATTCTTTTCACAGTCTTTTTACACCGAATGTTTTTGTTGCCTTTCGTATTCAAATCTCGAGAGAACTGTTGCAAAAAACCTAGCGAGTATGAAATTTTCACTTTTATCCCACGAGTGAAACACGCCAGCAGTCGCTAAGATCGCCGAGAGATAAGCAAAGCAACCTCGAACCGCGAGAACGACGAAGAAGACCTCATCACCGCAGCTTTCGAAATGTATTTTCTAGCCCGATGCTCTCGTTTCACCGAATAAAATCGAACTTCGTCGCTACTTGCGATACATTAACACGTGATTCATATCGAACCGTAACTCGATCGATCGTCGAGTGTTAATTAAACCGGACAGGTGTGTTTGTGGAATGTTTCGAGGATCGAGTATCGTGTTTACGACAACTGGTCCCAGAATATCCAACGATTGCGCAGCAGTCTCGTTACAAATCCGCTAAGTAGGCACATACTTGGTGTAAATTCGGGTAGCAACGGCGCCTAAATGTCGCGTGTAATAAAGACATCATGTACGACCAAGAAATTCGTCGAACGATTCGACGATCGATTTAAATACCCAATCAGCGAACGCGTACAAACGACGAAGAAACAGATACCGCACGACGGTGAAGCATTAATTAAACATAAGTCTGGGAGCTCGAAGCGTTGACGTCGCAGAATAAGGCTGCTTCGTCGAAAAATTCTCCACCTTTAATGGCAGTCACGGAACAAACTTCGACTGTACTCTAATTAAAACGAATGAAATCATCGCGTTGTTACGTACACAAGTGAATTACACGCGATCAACTTCCTCGATGGATATTCTATCTCCTTTTGCGAGAATTCTGTTCTTTTTCTCTTACCGTTCTCCTTCTCGTCGTCCTTCTTCACGGTCGTCAATGTTACACCGTCTTTGTTCCCAAGTTCCTCCGGATTCTTGATCGGTTCTGTGAGATTCTGGTCGGATTGTCTGCCGAAAATCGTGGAGATCAGATATGTATAGTCGCCGGCGAACATTAGGAACATCCCGAGGAATATCACGAGACGCACGGTGCTGGTGTCCATGACCATGATGGCTGGCGTCCTTCGCGTGTGAAACGTCGCCGCGTCTTCGCCGATCGACGATCCTCGATTCACTGCGGCCGAAGGAGTTGCTCGATTCAACCA